CATCCCCACCTGCACCCCCTGCACGGCCCAGCCCCTGGGAGCCCTGCAGGGCTGCAATAGGAGGCAGTTTCCTTGCTCTGCTCAGGGCAGTGGGGATGAGCTGGAGGGGCTTTGCCCAGCGCTACCAGTTACTTCAAGGGCCACTTTTCCTTTCGTGGCCCGTTTGCTTTCTCAGGAAAAGGAGCTACTGGAAGTGACACCCCCTCCAACATCCGTACACGAAGCTGTTGTCCTGGGAGACAAGAAAACCTACGCTGTCTATGACCTGCTGAGCCCCTCGCTCTTCAACGCATCTCGCAGCCTCAACGTGCAGCTGAAGTGGAAGCGGCCCCAAGACAGCTGTGAGTGAGCAGAACTTCACTCCATCTGCACTGCTGGCCAGGGCTCCAGGCCTAAAACTCCCCTGGCCTGGCCCCCCATTGCTGTCCCTCTGTGCCCCGCAGTGGAGATGCCCATCCCCGTGCTCCACGCCCAGCGGTACGTGGGTGGGTACGGGCTGCAGACCGGCGAGATCTGCACTCTCATCTACAACACCCACCCCTACCGGGCCTTCCCCGTGATCCTGCTGGAGACTGTGCCCTGGTACCTGCGGCTCTACGTGCACACCCTCACTATCATCACCAAGGGCAAGGAAAACAAGCCAAGTAAGTGAATCCTCCTGGGAGCACGTGCCACCCGATTTCCTTGGCACGAGCGGCTCATTCCAGAGAGGGTTTAGCCTCTCCCTTGGGCCCCAGCGATCACTGAGAATCTGGATTGTGAAATAAAACATCTTAGGATGTTTTCCTACCCTTGAGTTCAGTGCTCACAGCAGATGAGACTACTAAGTCTGTTTTATAAGAGGCACGTGGATGGTGTTTCATAATCCAACAAGGGTGTAAACCAAAGTGAATTAATTTTTGTAGTACAGGAGGCTCAATTTAAAACTGATGAGTGGGTTTTATTTTGCATTTGTAACTTTCCTTATGAACACCTGACTTTTATGGGTCATCAGCTCTAAAGACCAGCTAGATTTAACTCTAACACATGCTTTTTGCTACGGTTACATCTTCGCTTGCCCAGAAAAACTCTCTCAGGACAGTGGAAGCAGGAGCCCCCACCCCATGGGACATGCCCTGGCCATGTGAGATTGCACAAGGTCCCCCTGGTGTCATTGACAGCATCTCTTTGGGGTTAGGTTACATCCACTACCAGCCAGCCCAGGACCGGAGACGGCCTCACCTCTTGGAAATGCTGATCCAGCTGCCAGCCAACTCTGTCACCAAGATCACAATCCAGTTTGAGAGGGCCTTGTTGAAGTGGACAGAGTACCCACCTGACCCCAATCATGGCTTTTATGTCGGGTAATGACATTCCTCAGCTCCTCAGCCCCTCCTGGGCCTCACGCAGGACTTGCTGCCCAGGTCTCTGGGGATGTCTTTGCTGGCAGGACCGACACTGGCATGTTTTTGTCTCCTCAGTTCATCTGTGCTCAGTGCCCTGGTGCCCAGTGTGATTGCGATGAAGGACGTGGATGTGGAGCAGAGCCCTCTCTTCACCTCACTGTGCGTGTGCCTGTGCTGCAGCCTGGGGGCTGTGGCCACTGTCATCCCATCTGGTGAGCACAAAGCAGTGGCCCTGTGTGGGCTGACGTTCCCCTTCCTGTTTCCACTCCCCAGGTTTCCTTCCTCTGATGGCTCCAGCTATTTTGTGCGCCTGTACACGGAGCCACTGCTGGTGAACCTGCCAACACCAGACTTCAGCATGCCCTACAACGTCATCTGCCTCACCTGCACCGTGGTGGCCGTGTGCTACGGCTCCTTCTACAACCTGCTGACCAGAACGTTCCACGTGGAGGAGCCGAGCCGGGGCGGGCTGGCCAAGCGGCTGGCCAACGTCATCCGAAAGCTCAGGGGGGTGCCCCTGCTCTGAGAGGAACCAGGGCAGCCAGCACTGGCTGTGGGGCTCCGTGGGGAGACCCAGGGAGCAGAGCACTGATGCCACCTGTCTTGGCTGGAAGCACCCTGCTCCGTTTTGCTGCCTGGATCTCTTTGGGATCCACCAAGCTGAGAGATCGCTTCCATCCTGAAGATGGAAAATGGCTCTAAGCCCATTGACTACTGAACTGCACTGCTATGGGATTGGGAAAGGTACAAGACTTCTGTTTGGGAGAGGTGTAACAAGCTGGGAATGATGCTGGAAGTAAACTTGAGTGTTTTGTACATTTGTGCTGCTCCTGGTTGGTTTTACTTTCTCGGCCCCAGAGGCAGAGTTGACCCTGTAGGGCTGTGAGCTGCCAGCTCTCTACCACACTGCCTGGGTGAGCTGGGAGGAGATGCAGGCATGACCAGGGGAAGGGGTGTGATCTGCTGCAAAGAGAAGGGTTCATCTGCTCTGACACCTCGCCTTCCACAACTGCTGTGTTTCACAGCTCCTTCCTGTCACGCTTGACCACATTTGAGCCAATTTGTAAAGTAATTGCTGGCCACAGTGTATGTCTGCCCCCTCAGCCACGGCAAGGATTTATTTTCTTTCTCAGGAACTTCTGTTTGCAACATTTTGAAACCACTCCACCTACTCACCCCTTTGCTGCAGCACAAGATCCTCCTCAGTATAATTTCTGCATGTCTGCCCAGGGGCTCCCTTGCACCCATGGTGTCCCCAAAGCTCTGGGGAGCCTTGGCTCAGCAGACCCCAAGTGCTGAGCTGTGGCCAGCCCTGGTCTGGGAATGCAGGAACACCAGCACCACTCTGCTCTACACTTATTTTCACAAAATACAAATTACCACCTTCTGATTCACACAAAGCAGTGGGAGGAGGCTGGTGGTGCTGCTTGGCTTTTGACAGTCTTGTTTTCAGGGATCAGAACAGAAACTGCTCACAAGCAGCTAAACAAAGCATGGGGAAACCACTAGAAGAAATATTCCCTAGAACCAAAGCAGAACATAGCCATAAGTCCTTTAAAAACTTCCATTTCGAACACAAAACCCATAAAAACCCCATTGCCTCCTGTCCTGCACTGAACAATCTGTTCCCACTGGCCTGGGATTACCTTTCCCTTCCGTGCCAGAGATGCCCTTTTCTCTGCAGCTCCTTACAGATCCACTCCACTGGATGGCTCCATGCAGCCTGCAGAACTGCTGAAATACATGACTTTTGGATGATCCCTCTCTGTTCTGTTTGCTCAAAAGGATGCCACGGGGCCAGGAGCACACGCTGCTTCCAGCCACAGCTCTGCCAGCCAGGCTTCAAGTGCAAAATGGAATTTCTTTATAAAAGCTGGAACTACAACTGAACAAAACCTCAGCGAGCACACAGCTCCCACAGCAGGGCAGGGGGATGCAGCCAGGAGGGTCCACATGGCAGTTTGCAAAAGGATTTGGAGACCTCAAATTGTTTCAGGCTGGGTCCAGTATAAATCCTGCAGGCTGCAACCAGCAGCACGTGGTGGAGCAGCTCGGAGCAGCCCAGCTCCCGGGCTGTACCCTGCTTGCTGCAGGTGTTAGGTGGGATCCAGAAAGGGCCCCGAGTGCCAGGGCCATGGACTGCCATGGGAATCATCAGCTGGCATCTACCATAAGAGCTGGCATCAGCCAAAGGCTTTAGGGCCACTCCCATGCAGTGCCATAAGCAGGGAATTTAAACACCCCATAAAGAGGTCAGCTCAGAATAATGGCAGAGCAGGGGGAAACTGGATCCACACCCGCCGGGCCATCGGGGAGCAGGTCTTATCACACCCATCAATGCACGGGCCAGCCAAGCACAAAACCCTGCGGGAAATGGTGGCTCTGCAAACACGGCTGGGTGGGTTTAAATGGCTGTGAAAATGCCAATCTTAAAATCTTAGTCTTTGGTTTTTGGTTTTTTTTTCCTGGACTATTTTGCTCCCTTCCCTGCATGGCCCCTTGGGCTCCTCAGTACAGGAGAGACATGGAGCTCTCAGAGGGCAGTCCAGGGCAGGGCTGTGAGGATGATGAGGGGACTGGGGCATCTCTCTTGTGAGGAAAGACTGAGGGAGCTGGGGCTGGAGATGACTGAGAGGGGACCTTATCTGTGAGCAGCTGCAGGGAGGGTGTCCAGAGGATGGAGCCGGGCACTTCCTGGACCCACAAGGATCACCCAGTCCAACTCCTGGCCCTACACAGACACCCCAACAATCCCACCCGGCACCTCAGAGCGTTGTCCAAATGCTCCTTGAGCTCTGGCAGCCTGGGGGCTGTGACCACCGCCCTGGGGAGCCTGTTCAATGCCCCACTACCCTCTGGGGGGAAGAGCCTTTTACTAATATCGAACTTAAACCTGCCCTGACACAACTCCAGACCATTCCCTGGGGTCCTGTGGCCGGTCACCAGAGAACAGATCGGTGCTGGCCCTCCTGAGGGTGTTGACGAGCGCAACGAGGTCTCCCCTCATTCTCCTCTCTCCCAGGCCGAACAGACCAAGCGGCCTCAGGCGCCCCCCC